TCAAACAATTCCAATTGGAAAGTGACTCAATGACAGTGACAGTCAATTCATGTTTTATTTTCAGCACCTGCTTTGATATCATCACAGTGACCTGAAACAGTCGAGATCAAACAATTTCAATTCAAAAATGACAGCCACTTAATTCTTGTTTTTTTTTTCAGCGCCTGCTTCGATTTCATCTTCTGAAACAATTAAAATATTAGTAATAATCAATACAAACTGCAGCAAATTAAATATTACCAGATTAACTGAATTTGAAATTAATCATTAATTAACTAAATAATCTAATATAATTAATTGATGATAACTTATAAAGTTGTAAAGATAATTGTAAAGTGACTCAATGACAGTGACAGTCAATTCATGTTTTATTTTCAGCACCTGCTTTGATATCATCACAGCGACCTGAAACAATTGCAATATTAGTGTTAATTTAACATTAACTTAACTGAATAACTGAAATAAATGCGTGCAGCTTAAATAATTCAGCTGATGAAACCGTTTCGCCCCCGAAGAACGTCACTTGCCGTTGCCTTGGTGATCCAAACCTTGAGTATCCCCCATGTTGTGTACTCTGGTGTGTGTGTCACCCGGTAACGAAACAACACCATGGTGACTCAACCCCGATTTCGAAGACGAACATTCTGTAACACACATATTATTATTATTATACAAAAAATAAATAATCATCTTTTTACGTAAAAAATTACGATTGTAGGCAAAACGTATCAAAGGGATCAATTGATGTTGCCTAACTCATGTGGAAATACACTGACAACTTTGATAATTATAAATTTTTATTTATCAAATTTTACGTAATTACAATTAATTGTAAAGAGTTATTGAAATATGTTCGTTAAAACATAATTATTTATGTGTTAAGTCTGTGGAAACCAAAATATTTATATGCACCACATTCATCATCTCGGTCTTCATTCATCGAGTGGGCGTTGCGTTGCTTTATTCATTAGTCGATGCTTCGCTATACGTCGTTCCTCTCTTCACGTCTCCAATATCTTTGCGCTTTTGTGTGCGTGTCGAGTGTGGAAGGAAAATAGGGAAAAAAGGACGTAAAAGCGTGTTTTTGTTGTTGTTGTGGGTACGATTAAACTATAGATCGCGCCTTGTGCTCGTAACGTCGTCGTCCCTCCACCACTCATATCTCCGCTCATTAAAATGCGTTTTAGAGTTCAATTACACTTCGGACTATTAGCTATATAGCAGCATGCTGCACATATAACGGTAGTGCTTTGTTTATTATTCTCAGCACACTACTATTTCTTCTTCGGCCGCCGCCGCCGCCTCACCGATTCCTCTTGCATTCTCTCTATAGCTTCTTCTCCTCGTTCACCGCATCCCCCATATTTCCTTCTGTATTTGTTGTTGTTGCTTGCTTGCTCAAAATCGATGTTAGTAGCCTCATCGTACTCTAATTCGTTCGATATGAGCGAGCGAAAGAGAGATAGCGGAGTGCATTCACCACGACCTACAGCACGCTTTTACCATGAGTCACTCACGTGTGTGTGTGTGTGGAGGAGTCACCGTGGATGCGTGCGTAGGTGGCGTAGGGTTGGCGAGGTTCGGGGGTTTGGGGCCAGACGCCGCCGCTTCCAACACCACCACCACCACCATCGCCGCCGCCGCCGCCGCATTGATCTGAAACACTCGAGACAAGCAAGGGGAGCCTCCTCCTCAGGTCGACGTCCGTGTGCTGCAGGACATTGCCCCATGGCACTCTTGCACTTGCGGATAACCATGTGTGCGAAAAATATGAACATTTTTCTTTTTTTTCTGTAATTTATGAAATTCCCATATCTGCATCATTCTATGACTAAACTTTAACACTAAATTCCAAGCATAAACGCGTCTAATTTCAAACATTTTGTTATTTGCATTATACACATGACAGCTACGCAATCTCGATTTCACGCGCATCATGTCCTGAAAAAAAAAAAGAACACACACGACCGCTGTTCCTCCCCTATTCTTATCTTACACGCACAGGGTTCATTGTTACGCACTTAAACTAATACCAAAATAATGCAAATATCCTAAAAATGCTATTCACAATCAATATATATATACTATAATTACAGTTACGTCACTTAATCTAACAAATATTCACATTGTTTATCAAATATTGCCTAGCAACCGATTTAACAAATATATTTTTCATAGCAACCACAGGAAAAACAAAAGGATCGGAAATTGGTTGTAAATAAATTGACGTAATTTGCATCAATTTTAATTATATTTAGAAAAATTACATTTCACTCCATAAATCTATTACGTTTTTATATATACTTTTTTTTGTTTTTGATAATATTAATTGTCCGTTATTATTAAATGGAAGGGAGGAAACGCGCTATTATTAGTTATTAATAAATCTGCTAATAATCAGATCAGATTTATTACGTATCCAATATAAACGTTGAGACACGTACACGTCTCTGCCCGCCTACTTATTAATTATGTAACCTGGATTGATTGCCGTCTCGTTAGCAACGTGCGTCTTTTATTCATACGCTCGAGATGATGATTGTAAATTTAGACTGGATCGTTTTTCGGGGTTTGAAACGTGACCGTCGTTGTGTCGTCTGTCTAATTACGTAACACTATTTAAAGACGCGCTCTTTTTCTGTTTTGTTTTCCCCCCTTTTACGTTACATTAAAATGTCAAAGAATTATTGTAAATTTCGTTCAATTTCCAACTCATTAATGAAAACCGAACCGAAAATAACTTTTCTTTTGTGGGAAAGGTCAAAAGTATGTTTTATATATATACAAAAAAAAAAATAAAAATAAAAGGAAAATCGTTTCAATGAATACTTGATAAAATTGAATTGTTTGAAATTTACTTTCTTCGCCAACGTTATTTTTTTTTCATACACTCAATTTCTTTGCATTCAAAAGAAGGGGAGTTTTGTTTGGAAAGCAACGCTCTTTACGTAAATAATTGAGTATTTTACGAAAGCGAAGAAGAAAGTGATCTCCTGTGACTCGGATAAATGATTCATTTGAATCGTATTTTTTCTTCTTGAGGGGACATAATTCTCAATAGAAATGTTAATAATCATCTGTTAACAAATGATAACAACAAAAACGTCAATACTTTCAATTGTCGATGAAACAATTGACAATAATAACAAAGTAACAATTGCCTTACTTACATAACTATAATCGAATTCCAATTGGATCTGAAAAAAAATATATATTTATTTTTGTTATCCTGTTTTCCTTGCATCATATAAATCATTGAGGGTTTGGGAGAGAGAGAGCGAAAGAAATAAGGTTATTAAGAGAGCGTTGAGGGGGGTTCGAAATGCGTAGGGGAAAAAGTTTCTAGGACATAAATATGTGGAACGAAGGAGGGTCAGAAGATCCGACCCGAAGAATTCGGCAATACTTCCGTAAATAAACAACGCACAAGAAAAATTGTTGTATCACAAAAAAAAATAAGCTACCCAAGTAAAACATTAGACATACGTTACGTAAAAAAAAAACAGTTGCGTACTAATAATTGAGATACGTAAGTTGTGAACAAAATTTCTTACGTTTATGGAAATTTTTTGCATAGCAATATTGCTTTTGATGTGTAAAGTTTGATATTAGGATGAACGACTTTGCGCGGAGTGTATATTTTTTCCGCAGTGTCTTTTGATAGGGGGCGTTCTTTCCCCCTTTGGATTTTTATATAAATCATTGAGTATATTCGCAAATGCGAAAGAGCGAGAGTTCAGTTTCGAAATGTGGGGGAGGAAGGAGAGAGAGAGAGCTTTGTACGTGCATATGTGTGTTGTAATGAAAGTATCGCAATAGCGTCATATCGGTCATTGCGCATGTATCGCGTGCGGTTCAACCACCTGCATAAGGTCGGGGTCATGACACGGCGGGACACCCCAACCCCAGGCGCAACCCTCGGACGCCGACGCCGCCGCCACCATCCGCCCTCACTCACTCACTCCCTCCCTTCTCCAACGCCGAAGCCCGGTCACCTACCCTTGTTTACAGACTTGTTACGACTTCTGTTGACTTTGCGCTCCGAATCTGCATCGATCCTTTTCAGCAAACCGGGCAGAAACAAAACCGAAGCTCAACCTATTAAAGACACGACCACCGATCCAATATGTTTCCATCTACTTTCGTCTGGGAATAAATCATCTGAATAATCAAAAGAAATACACAATTAGTATTTGTACTTTTTTCCATACATCCATCAATCCGAAAACCGTTCTTTTCTAAATTTTTATTTCGTCTAGAAGAAGAGGATTGTTTACGCTGCGAGCGATAGTGGTGCGAGCACGGAATTCCGAAAGCACAAAAGAAAATGTGGAATAGGTTTAAATATAGAGATAAGCGAGGACGCGGACGGAAATAACCTATTCCACCCTAACGAGACTTGACTTTATTTCTTTTAAATCGACTACCGAGTTAGTTCCAAATACCACAAAAGAAAAAGACAACAGTAATCGTACAACATTACACTTAACACGAACATTATCATTATTGCAATGCATTTGCATTTATATTCAGTGTTCTAATTGTCATTACGTTACGTTACAGTACTGATATTGGTATTCAAGTTATCATTTGTACACTATGAAATAGTAATTCAATAACTGTGTTTATTTTTAACTTATTAATATTCTTTTTTCTATAATGAACTGTAAATAATTAATAATTTAAGTAAAGAAGATTATACTATTAATACAAATTAGTTCAATTCAACTATAATTAGGCACGCGTTTCTCGGAAACGTGTACAAAGCAAAGTCTAAATCTATCTAATTGAGGATATGCATCGCGAGAATTTCGTGGTTTTCGTCGTCTGGCTTTGGTTTTAAATCGGGAAGAATGGAGCGATTCTCTCTCTCGCTCTCTCTCCTACTTCTTATTCCTTTCATTCTTTTCGTTTTTCGGGGTTGCTATTTTCGAAGCCGCTCTATTTTTAAAGACCCGCCGCATCCCTAACCTATATTAAACCCAGCGCACGAGTCTTCAGCTTGAGACTTACGAGCGGGACGAGAAAGAGTGCGAAGCGATATCGTCGTGACTCACCCGCAACGACATCACCCTCGCTTCAACACGAGAAGCTCAACAAACGAAAATACATCAATTCCACAAACTGCAATTAAAACATCTTTAAAAAAAATAAATACAATCGTTTTTTTGTTGTTAACTTCAAGTTAAAAGACGTAATTTACGAAGAGCTTTGCCACGAAAATGAAAACAGTTTTGAGCTTCGGTTAAACCGTGATGCGTCTTATTCGAGATTTACCTTTCACAAAGAGTTTAAAGTTTGGAGAGTTTTAGTGAAATCCCTGTGCATTTCACTTAAACGTTTATACAAGCTTTACAGTTTTAGATAGTACGTTTTTTTTATATCTATAAATTGTTAACGTTCAAAGTAAAAATGTTTCAACTATGATTGTGTAACTAATACAGATTTAGTTCATTCAAATTAATGTGTGTGCGTTTAATGAAGTAATGCGTAGACATAATATGATTAAAGTAAAAATAAACGTTTGATTCAACTGGATGCGCATAGTCATAACAACACGTTAAATGTTAAAGTTAATTGACGAAGTAATAAGTTAAATTTAAGATGTTTGTAATAATGTTTTGCAGGATTTCTAATGACACTGCAAAATTGGGGTTGTTGTGGTTGCTTTTGCACGCGTCTCAAAACCGTCGTCGTTCATTTTCTTTTGAGAAATGCAGAGATGTTATCTATTGGAAAATAGCAAAGAAAAAAAAAACTATAGAAGGGAAAGGAAAATGTGGAATCCATTTGTTATTGTGTCAATAGAGGATCAATGCACTGAGTCGTAGACGTGAGCGTGTCCGATAAGAAAGGACTCGAAAGGCGGCGGTGGTCTCCCCGTATCATGTGCGCCACACAACCCCCTCGACCCCCACCACCCCCACGTCACAATCGCGGCCTGCTCGACTGCGTTTCAGGGTCAACGCTTGATAAAGCACGTTATTCTTTATTTATTTACTGTTGAGGTCACAACCGCAACAAGAGACGACGTCCGCCACGAGCGCAGTGGAATTGAGTAATTTCTCGTAAATCCGTATACATTTTTTTTTCTTTTTGATGGGCTTCCAATTAAAACACCTTCGTAGGAGGAAAGCGAGAGGATAAATCAAGAGTGCGTAAAAACCGAACCGCGCCCTTTTTCCTGCTTCCCCATATATATGTATATTTTTATATATCCTCCTGCTGCGCATCACTCTTTTACCCGTTCCTAATTCCGTTCCGAGGAGGAATGCATTTTCACCCTAATTACGAGGGGGTGCGCTTTGATTGATGGTCGCGTCGACCGTAAATTAGATTACAGTATAAACGCGATTCCGCAGGACGACGGTAACAGTTGGCAACGTTGCGCACGTATGTGTGAGTGAGTGTGTTTTGTTCCTCGTCCTGCAACGCCTGCAGACGACGCTCGTACTCCTGGCCATTCACCCGAACACTCGGCCAAGGACGCGGCGTCGTCGTCGCCGCCCCCGCTCATCCCTTCCCCACAATACCAGTTAAGGTTCAACCCCGGAGGCAGCGTCGCGACGCTCGTTTCCCTTTCCATCGCACAGCCGCCGCCGCCTCAGACCGACCCCGTCCGGGGTGCTACGACCCCGTTCATTCCGCCACAAGGAAAAACCCGAATTCCCCCTTCGCTGCGCCAATACCAAAAAGAAGAAAAAAAAAACACCCACCCCTCTAACGCTTTAAAAACGTTCGAATCGTCCGGGCAGACGGAGAAAAGTCTCAGGAACGATATTTATAATAATTTAGGTCAAAATTGTCACCTCCTTTCTTCTGCGCGCATTCCACAATTACCATTCCTAATAAGGGTGAGGACCGTAAATCGTCGAGAACAGAGTCCGCGCCGAATGCTCACAATTATCGTTTCGTTCGCTCGCGAAGGACGATCCGCAAACAATCCTTCGTCGTCGTCAGGCTATAAATATAATACAGAGAGAGGCATTATTTATCAATTCAAATTACAAACCGAACAACGTTCATCGCAATTCCTTTCTTACAAACTTAATTATAATTTTTAAAATCAAATTACCACAATGTAAATCGTGTATTCTTTTCCGGTGTGAAGTCAATTTTAAGCTACTTAATTAAGTTTAAATTACTAATAATTGTCCATGTGCGCATGTATATGTTATGTCGACTCGTAATTGGAACAAGTTTTCTCGAAAACAAGTTGATATTTAATTAATTAATTAAAAAAAAATAATTTGTAATGAGAACAATGCTCGTACATGTACGTGCATATGCATGTAAAAGCAGTTGGTCCACGACGAAACCGAACCGAAATGTAAATTTCCATGGAACTGGGGTAAACGTCAAGGGCACCGAAAGCCGGAAGTTAGCCAAACAATGTGTGCATGTACATATATATATATATTTCATCAACCGTACAAGTTGTAACAGTAAGAAAGAACGAACTTTAATTTTTGACATAAACGTCATAAATTTTGACATAAAACTCGTTGAAAACGATTTGAACGTCAAAATTTGTTGACGTAACAACTGACAAGAGATAACAAAATATATGTTATTGACATAACTCGACACGTAAAACTTGTTGAAAACGATTTGAACGTCAAAATTTGTTGACGTACGTCAAACGTCATAAATTTGTTGACGTAACAACTGACAAGAGATAACAAAATATATGTTATTGACATAACTCGAAACGTAAAATTTGTTGTAAACGATTTGAACGTCAAAATTTTTGACGTTTATGTCAAACGTCATCAATTTTGACGTAAAAACTGATAAGCGATTAGAAAATATGTGTTATTGACATAACTCGACACGTAAAATTTGATTGTAAACGATTTAAACGTCAAATTTTTTGACACTTTTTGTCAACGTTTTAAAATATGCAATTAGACGACGAAAACGATCAGTACGAAAGTAACGAGCAAACAGATACCGCTGGCCGTTTACATTTATTTTCGACTTACGCGAAATTCCGCAAATATGTTCTAAGCAACAACCAAATGTATTTGAATTCTTCGCCTGATTGAAACCATCTGCCGCTCGTTTTCTATGCACGTAATGTTATTAGTTTTCTTTTTTGAGATTCAACCTTGTTTATGTCTTCTCCTGCGCATTCAAAGATAGGTCAAATTATATATAAAATATAAATATCTACAGAGTCTCACAGAGTAATCAGACTCGGATGATTACACTTATACTTTGTAATAAATCTACGTGAATGCATTTCGATGATGTATATATTTATATATGAAAAGAGAAAGAGAGAAAAAGAAAGAAACACTGACCGTCTGACATTGAAACAGAAACAGATTGTATTAAATGTTATTGCGGGCAAAGTTAAACGTGTGCAAACGTTTGCACGTCGAAATAAATGTATATATTGGAATCAACTTCACCGGAGCAAATGCAAAAAATGGTTCTTGTTATTATTACTATAATAATAACCGATGTTATTGTAAATAAACAGACACGATATGACACATTCGTTATCCAAGAATCAACAATAATTCATAAAACAAATAAATCAGTTTATATCTATTTACACCGTTCGTGCAACAAACATGTGCAGGTCTCGCAAAACCACTTGATTTCCATCAAATTGATGTTAGTTATTACTCAATGCAGTGTGTATTAATACCAAAGAAAATGTTGATTTGTGAGAAAATGGAAATGAAATTAATAAAAAGTCAGACTTTTCGATCGAGTCTCGCGCGGGGAAACCGTAAATACGTCTGGGCACTTCTTGTATTATTTTTGGCTCGGGGGATTCGTGTGCAATGCGAGAGAGTGCACTTTATTGATTTTGTCGGGAAAGTTTCGGTCGCCGCACCATTCCACCACTGCACACACACTCCGTACCAATAACCCACAGACACAGACTAAACAAATTTCCCTTCTTTTTCTTTCTTCCAACGCTCAATTTCGTTCACTTTTCTTCAACATAATTTCTACAACAATTACACAATTTCCATATACAAATTACAAAACAGTCACAAATTGAAATAAAGATAACATTGCAATCACCATAACTAATACTTAATAAACTATAAAAACGCAATTATTGCTACGATTCGATTACGAAAGATCACGAAAGAGAAGAAAAAATATGTAAAATTAGAAAGTCGAAAAGTGGATTAAATATTTATTTTGAAACTTATATACATAACACACACACACATAAACTTTTCGACCTTGAAAAACAAAGGATGCAGCGGAGAAAAGCAGTCATCAAGTGTGTGTGTGCGTTGCATAATGGAATCACAGAATTCTCTCTTCGTCTTTCTTTTCATTTTCTTCTCTTTTTGGAGGGTCAATGCCTTAATAAATATAAAAAAAAAATGTTCGAAGAGCCGACGAGCGGTGAGAGTGAAACGTTCTTTCGTTTTAAATATGCCATAAAAACTAAAAGAATGACACAAAAATGTGCCCACAAATAAACTATTTTTTTGGTCGTCAATGCGCGTTTATTTATCGTTCGGATTTGTTTAATATTTAGACTCGTTATCTAACTAATCGTTTCACAGTTCCTCCAAACAAACTCATTAATTTATTTTAAAAATTAACTTTTCTATACTTCATACTTGTAAAAATAGAAAGAAAAAAAGAAGATGTAAACAAATCGTCTATTCTCGCGTACCGACTACTATTGGGCCTTGGCCAAATTTTTGCCAAAAAGCACACAACAATATCGCGAACAATAATTGAACTTTATTGCATTTATTTCTAGACCTCTAGGTTAACATTTAAAATAAGAAATTTGATAATAAGGTCAAGTGCACTTGACGCAACAGATTTAGTCATGAAACTGAAAAGAAGGATTTTAGTAATTGAACGAAACAGAAATATTGTATTTGGCTGCAGTTTCCCTTTCATCTTTTACATACTGTTATAAAACACGGTAAAACGGTGTAAAATGAAAGAGCTGAAGGATGCACGTTCGAATAAAAGATACGACGTGAAAAAAAAAACATATATGTGCGTGCTTAAGAATAGGAAATTTCATTTTTTTAAACAGTCAAATCTATTTATATAACTGTCTAATTCTATTTCGATTTGCGCTCAATATTCAATTATTACATAAAATTACTATTTTTTCGTATACGAAATAAGTACTTTATTGTGTCTTAATGACCTGCAATATTGAGTTATGTAGATTAAGTAAATATTTGAATAAAATTAAGTTGAAGTGGAATCCTGTAATGGAATCAAAGAACAAATAAAGTAATAATACAATTACGTAACAGTAAATTGAAAGTTGTCGGATTTGAGTATTCCGAATGAGTTTTCTTTTTTCGTTGCGAGTGTGCTGTTGTTGTAGAAGAAGAAGAGTGCGCGCACGCATTGGTGCGTGGGGCCTTACCGAACTTAGAACACGAAAAGCATGTGTGGGTCTCTCTATTGGAATGGCCTTGACCCTGACTCTCATTCTCTCCCATTCCAAAAAAAAAAGGAATTATGTGCGTGTCTACACTATACAAGTAACACACACTAACACAAAACTCTCGCTTTCTTTCCCCGAAACGTAACGCAACCGAAGAAAGATCCATCCATCCACGCGTGGATCCATCTTTCTTTACTTACACTCTCTTAATTTAGACGCGCTCTTGCGTCCTTGCCGATTTTTCGACTACGAGTCAGGGTCAAATTGTAAATAAAATAAATAAGCGAAGCAAAAAACGATTATATAAATAACGAAACAGTTTATGAAGAGATGCGAGAAATTGGGTCATCGACTTCTCTGTCAATGATCGACGACGCAATAAAGAAACAGCGAAAACAAACACGATCCGGAGGAGGAAGTGCCTTTTATTGGACACGTCGTAAAAAGGCCGTAAATTACGATTTTTTAACTGCGCGAATTGCATTCACGCACCTATGAGGATACCGCTTATTTCCTTCAACTATTGTTATTTCAGCCACGATTAGATAAAAGCGCGTCCTCGTCATTGGAAAGCTCTTATCAATCCGTCCTTAAAGACTTACGCATTATCATCATATTATTATTATTTTTTTGTAATACATTGAATTATTGTTTGGAGGACAGGAAACATTTTGCGCTGCTGCGTCAACGTAATCTCTCGCGGGGTTGGAAGGCCGGGGATTCGCTAATTGTCCTTTACCTTCGCTTCGACATTGCTCGCCCATTGGAGGAGGAGGAGGATGAATTGGGCAAACATCGAGCGAGCGCGTGCGTTTGCGAAACCTCAGAACGGTATTTATTTGGCAATGGGACGAGAATCCTCACAAAATCTTCCAAAATATCGCGCGTTATCGGGCGCGCAGATCCGAGGACGCGACTTTATTTTCGCAACGTCCCGAAAAAAAATTCACGGCCGATCGCACCAGTTTATATAACTTCTCTACACTCAGATAATTTCTAATTCTATGTAGAACAGATCCTGAAGGAGGATCGTCGTTTCCGAGTCTGCTTCGACTCGATGTTATAAAGTCCAAGGATGTTTCGCTCACCTTGAGGCAGCAATTTATTTACACCGCACCGAATCGAATATGACCTAGTGGGTTATAACGCAGCGCAATTCGCGACTCTCTCCTTTATTTCCACTTACAATATCGAATTGCAAGAAAACAAGTACAATATCTGCAATTAGTCAATTAGTAGACTTCGATATTGAATTGTTCACTGGGTTAATAAACCCGACGAAGGTTGCATCGACATTGGACTTGCTTTCTCTTATTCACAATAATTTACGCTATTTGTAGGAGGAGAATGGAAGACAAAAATGGGAAAACACGATAAATATAAATAAACGCCCGCAATAATGGTATGTGTTCGATAAAAGCAACAAGCGTTATTAATACACGAAATTAATTACATTTCATTAACATCAATTACAATACACGTCCGCTTCAAAGTTAAACCCAAAAAAACAGAACACACACACATCATATACATGGGATTAGTAAGGAAATGTTAATTTACCAGAGGAAGTCCTTGGAGATGCTGGAATTATCACGCGTTTCTTTTCATCATCATCGTCATCCCGAAATGAAAAGTATATAATATTCGTTTCCACTTTCTCCGGCCCGGCCCGGCCCGAAAATCCTTGGCCGAGGTTGTTGCTCTGCGCTCCGCCTCGAGGTTGCATAAGAAATTCGTCGATTTCGACTCGAGGTTACGTTACAGCGAGCTTCTTCAATCTTCAATCGACCTGAGAGAAAAAAAAAGGGAAAAGAGTGAAAAAGGCGAATTTCTGCTACCATTTATTTCTCGATGCAAATCTGCAACACGCAAGAGAACGTGAGTCGTGAACTTGAACGTGGATCGAAAATAAACAAAAAATTTCTGCACAATGAGCGCTGAAAAATGAAGCAACAACAGGAAAAAAAAAATGTGGAACACTAACCCATATAACTCGCTCTGCCAAGTAATATTTTCGCAGCCGCCGCCTCTTGCTATACCTCTTCCTCAGCAAGCGTGCATTTGTAATCGACTATAAACTAAAAACGTGAGCTCACAATTTGTAAATAATTGATCTATACAGCTTACAGTACAAGTTGTAACAATGCAATGAAGATACATCAAGATTCACAATTTTTTTCCTTCTGAAGCACTCAAATTGGGTCACATGAACTGAAACATGTGGACTGAACATTTTCAATGTGTGTGTTTACATTATATCCTATTTAATAATCAACCGTTTTTAAATACAAAACAAATTCGTGTTGAATAATCGTGTAAACTTACGGAATGATTTAACTAAATTAATATGTGTTCGTTTGGAGATTAGTGGGTGAACGAGTAAATAATTGTATTTTTAGATGAATGGAATTCGTCGTCGTATAAACAACACACAACAAATACGGACGGATCGAGGAGGAATCACGAGCAAACGGAAACGTGTGCTCTCTTTATCTAAGGATAAACAGTACGTTTACGTTATCATTACATATTAATATTTCTAGGTTTTGTAACTATTTTTAGAAGATTTACAAAAAAGTGTCATTTAAATTTCGTAACGAAACAACCAACTCGCGTCCTCCGATTAGTAATTAGTGTTTAATGATAGTGGCAATCAACACGAAACTAAACGTACTTGAAAATAGTAATCCGGAATAAGTATAAATATAGATCGTAAAACACACAAAAAATAAACATGATATTTGTGTGTTCTTCTCAAATATTTAAACTGAATTCCTTGAATGGTTTACATTTCTTAAAAGGACAAACACAATACTTTCAAGATAATTTAATTTTCATCCCATAGACAAATCAACGAATGGTTAATCTAGTGGATGAAAACGAGATCCGTCACATTTTCTGTGTAAAACAGGTGCAACCCCGTGAAGATAAATGTGTACGGTCTTGCATCAATTCAGAGGCTGTGTGTTGCGCATGAAATGGTACCTGGTTATCATCTTCATAAGAAGATGATAAACCTTCATTTAGCACCTGGACATGCGGTCACGTGGAGGCCGCTGCTCTCATTCACAGCAAATGAGAGCAAACGCGCGACCGCACACCCGGGAGGAATCAAAAAGGAAATAGGGAAAATTTAGGATAGAAGGAAATGCTATGATCTAGGTACCTGAAAGGGAACGTAACGATTAGTGACATGACATACAATAAAATTAAATTAATCCTGAAACAGAAGAACACAAAGTCATGACACACACCCGCCGACCGAAAACATGAACGAAATATAAGTTTACATAATCTATAAGATCGTATTGAAAAATACGATACACATTTATAATTACAATAAAAATAAAATTGCATTGCACATTGAACATCATTATAATATTTAACAGGAGAGGAACAAATGGAACGAACATTTTCTCTCTCATCTTTTATTTTTTTAATTCTTTTGTTTTATATCTTTTTTTTATTATTGTTATTAAACCATATTTTATTTTTTTTTATTTTTTCATTCTTTTGTTTTATACATATGTTTTTATTATTATTGTTATTAATCCTTTTTTTTTCATATATTTTTGTATGTATCTATTTGTTTACACATACAATTTGTATATAATATGGTTTTCTTATTACTTTTTATATTATTTTTTCTATATTATGAATGTGTAATATGCAACGCATTAC